CGGTTGCGACAGTTTTCGGGTTCTGACCGGTCCGAGTGTCAAATTCTGCTTGACGGTGAGGTGCGGAAACAAATTGAATTGTTGAAAGACCATTCCGACCGAGGAACGTACTGCACGCAAACTCGAGCTTGTATGTGTCAGTCTGTTGTCCGCGACTTCAATCAGGCCCTCGTCGTGCCGTTCAAGCCCGTTTATGCATCGTATCAACGTTGACTTGCCGGAGCCGGATGGTCCGCACACCACCACCTTTCGCCCGTAAGCACTTCAAGGGAAACGTTTTTCAGGGCGTGAAAGTCACCGAATGTCTTCGAAACATTTTCAACTTTGATCATGGCCTTCGCGGACAAATTCAACATTGCACAAAAGGAAGTCTTGACCATTAGTTAGTCATGTATTTGAGTGTAGTGCAATAAATTTATCAACTGGCAAAACTGCAGTGCACAACGGACCATTACCTCATCCTGAGAGGAGAACGGCATGAAACTGATCAAGACAACAGCCACGCTTTGCTTTCTGGCACTTGCCACCCTTCCGGCAACGGCTCAATCAGCGCTCAACGACATTCTGAACAACGGTGTTCTTAAGGTCGGCACCACCGGCGACTGGAACCCCATGACGATGAAGGACGTCGCGAACAACACCTATACCGGTTATGACATCGACGTCATGACCGAACTGGCAAAGGATCTCAATGTCGAGGTCGAGTTCGTTCCGGCGGACTGGAAAACGCTGGTCAGCGGTGTCACCGCAGGCAAATATCACCTCACCGGATCGGCGTCTGTTTCTCCCGCACGGGCGAAGGCGGCCGGATATTCCACGTCCTATTTCTCGCTGGCAACCGTCCCGCTCATTCTTGAAACGAGTGCGGAAAAGTTCAAGGACTGGGACGATCTCAACAAGAGCGATGTAACCGTCGCGGCAACGCTCGGCACCACCCAGGAAAATCAGGTCAAGGACTTCTTCCCCGATGCGCAGCATCAGATCGTCGAAGCGCCGGCGCGTGATTTTCAGGAAGTGCTGGCGGGACGCGCCGACGCGCATATCACGTCCAACGTCGAAGCACTCAAGCTCGTTGAAAAATACCCGCAAATGATGATCGTGCCGGTGAGCGCACCCACAGCGCCGACCCCAATTGCAATGCTGCTGCCACAGGGCGACCAGGTATGGATCAACTATGTAAACACCTGGATTGCCCTCAAGGAAGAGCGCGGATTCTTTGATGCCCTGGGCAAGAAGTGGCGCCTCAAGGAATAGGTCTTGAACGCCGACAACGCGGAGAGGGGCATTCGAACCGGAATGCCTCGCCACCTTACATGTTAAAGCTGTTCGCCATCCCCGTGAGCCTTTACTGCGCCAAGCTTCGCATCGCGCTCCGTCACAAGGAACTGGTTTGGGAAGAAGTACCTCCGCCAGGCGGCTACGGGTCTCAAACCTACAAAGATCTCGTTCCCGGCGGCAGTTTGCCCGCCCTGGAGCATGACGGACATTTGCTGAGCGACTCCGAAGCAATTGCCGAATACATCAATGAAGTGTGGCCCGCGCCCGAGATGTTGCCGGGCGACAGCCTTGAGCGCGCCCGAATTCGCGAACGGTCAAGATTTCACGACACCCGGATTGAACCGGCCTTGCGTGCGCTCTTTCCGATGATCGGGCGCGGTCCCGATGACCAGGCTGTTTCTGAAAAGTGGGATGCCCTGGCCGGAAGACTGGCGCAAATGGAAACACTGCTCCCGGAGACCACACCCCGGCTGACACTTGCTGATTGCGGTATGCCGGTCACCTGCCGGTGGATCAACGAACTGACGGAGCATTTCCGGACGGCTCCCGTCCTGGGTTCCCGCATGCAGCGCTACCTCCAGGGCCTGAACGCGCACAAGGCTGTTTCCAATGAGCTTGCGCAATATGGGCCACGCCTCAAGGCATGGATGGCAACCAGATGAGGCTTGATCTTTGCAGCTGGCTTGAGGTGGAAACGTATCTCGAACGCAGCCGGACCATCATCCTGCCTGTCGGCTCGACCGAACAGCACGGCCCCATGGGCCTGATCGGTACGGACGCACTGTGTGCCCAGACCATCGCCCGACATGCCGGAGAGCGAACCTCAACACTTGTCGCGCCCACGCTCGCCTTGACGCCTGCGCCTTTCAACACGGCGTTTCCGGGAACAATTTCAGTGTCGGTTGCGACATTCAAGGCAATGGTGTCAGAGATCGTTTCGTGCCTGCACGGTCAAGGGTTTCAAAGGTTCTATTTCCTGAACGGCCATGGCGCGAATCTGGAACCGGTTGGCCAGGTAGCCGGTGAGACCGAAGTCGTTGAAAGCCTGGATATCCGAATCCGCTCCTGGTGGGATTTCGAGGCCGTGGGCAAGCTCCGAAAGGACCTCTACGGCGATTGGGAGGGCATGCATGCAACGCCATCGGAAGGTGCGATCACCCAGGCTACCCATCGCGTTTTGCCTCCGGGTGCCGCATCGGCGCCGCCCCAGAAATTGTCGGCGGAATATATCAGGAACCATGCGGGTGACCGGCACGGCCCGCCTGACGAACACCGCCGCGCTTTCCCGGACGGGCGCGTGGGATCTCATTCGGCGCTTGCAACAGCGGAACACGGCAAGGCTCTGCTCGAGGCAGCGGTGACAGGTTTTGCCGAAGACCTGGAAAACTGGTCGCGCTGATTTAACAACGAAATCCGGCGGTTGCTGATCCAAGTTGTTCCGGTGACCAGGCAGTGCGGCGTCACCAGTTCCCGGGACAACAGCCATGCCTCCGGGGCAACTGTGCTGCCCATCGAATGTCCGACGAGACAGACGCCCAGCAGGTTCAAAACTCTGGAAAACGTGGTGACCCTGGTTCCACAGGTATGGATGCCGGGTTTGCTCTTTCCCTTCGCCCGGTCATGCCCGGAGAGGTCGATCGCATGGACGGCCAAATTTGGAAAGATTGAAACGGCCGGGTCGCAGTGTGTGTCCTCAATTGAGGATTGATCTTCTTTGATGGCAGCTTCATCTGCTCCTCGCCATCCAACCGGAAGCTGGCCGGGATTGCCTGCGCTGCCTGGCATGCACCGGCGAACATTGGTTCAAACCAGTTTATGCATGGCTTCGATCTCGGTTGTGCCGACCTGGTCCAGAATGCTGCCGCGCAGCTTGCGCATGGCTCCCAGCCACTTGTCGTAGTCGCCGGACTTGAACTTGATGTACTTCGCGACGTCAGGATGAGGCAGAATGAGGAAAGCTTCTTCATCAACACCCTGAACGACTGTCTCCGCCAGGGCTTGCGGAGAAATCACGCCCGGCAGATCGCCACCGGCATTTTCGTCCCCATATCCCAGCATCGGCGTTGCCACATATTGGGGGCAGATGACAGATACCTTGATACCGTCTGCACCATGCGTGATGGCAAGAGATTCCGCAAAACCGACCGCTGCGTGCTTCGTTGCCGAATAGGCCGCGTTTCCGATCTGGCTCAGCAATCCGGCGGCGGAAGCCATCTGAAGAAGATAGCCTTCACCTCGTTCGATCATGCCGGGCAGCACTGCACGGGCAGCATATACGTGGGCCATCACGTGAATATTCCAGCTCCTGTTCCAGACATCGTTGCCGGCGGAGGCTGAGTGAGACGGTTCGCTCAGGCAAATGCCCGCATTTGAACAGAATAGGTCCACCGGTCCGAATTGGCTTTCGACAGCAGCAACGACGGCCTGGACATCGGTCTCCTTGGTGACATCGCAGCCAAGTCCAAGGCCGCCAATTTGCGACGCCGTTGCCTCGGCTCCGGACTTGTCCAGGTCCGCCAAGGCGACCCTTGCGCCTTCTTCTGCAAACTGTCTGGCCAGGGCCGCACCGATGCCGCCAGCCCCGCCGGTGATGATGACGTTTTTGTCTTTCAGTTTCATGAAGGTTCCTTGAAATGAACTGAAGAAGAAACGGAAGCCGGAGGGCAGAGCCGGCAAGTGTGACAAGGAGGCAAATTATCACGGATATCGCGACGACAATTGGAACGGCTTTTCTGATCGCGTCGTTGATCGGGCCGCTTTTCCGGACCGATTGCACCAAGCAGAGGTTAAGGCCGAATGCCGGCAAGGAACAGAAAGGCATTTGTCGCGCGCTCCCGACGGTCCTGCGCCGTTGTGGGGGGCATGGCCTTGATCCTGACATCTGCAGGTCAGGCGCTGTTCTCCTGGGACGAAAAGCCTGGGGTTTTTCCTTGGCGGACGCTTCCGATATTGAAGGTTCAATCGCGGGAAAAAGTCGGGAACAAACCCGAGATGCATATCAGGCAGGCGCTGTTGCAATATCGTGCAATAGCCTGGCTTGGCAGGTCCTGATTGAGCGTCGGACCTTGAAAGAACCTGTCGGTGACAGGCCGGTCTGTCAGTTCCGCAGTCGCTTTCTCAAAGCAGCAGAGTATGTGAAACATGGCGGAGAGAGGGGGATTCGAACCCCCGGAACGCTTGCGCGCTCAACGGTTTTCGAGACCGCCCCGTTCAACCACTCCGGCACCTCTCCGCGGCACTTTCGACAAAACGGGTCTCAAGTGGCGCGGAACATAGACAAGCTCTTTCGCACCTGCAAGACCCGATTTGCATTCTTCACCGCCTACGTTGACTTTTTGCGCGCATATTCATAACGGCTGAAATTCAAGGCGGATTTCCAACCGTCCGGAGAGTGACCGGTGATGGGGACCCCTGTGGGAATTGAGGCTGTCCCGGAGTGGTCAATCGGGCGCGCGCGTCCTTCAGTCTGCAATAATTCCGTTTGACAACAAGAGCTGGGTGGCTATATTGCGCGGGCTCGAAAAGGTTCATCTTTTTCGGGTTTTCTTTGTCGATCTAGGCCTCGCGGGCTTTTAGCTTCACGCAACCCGACACAAAGATCTGCCTGCCGGATGGCAATCCGGAGGGGCAGGCGCCTCAGTTTGACCTGAATGCAGCCGGTGCTGCTTGAGCCGAATGGCCTGCACCGGCGTGTCAAAAACGAAAAGAAGGACGTGCGCGACATGTTCGCTGTAATCAAAACTGGTGGCAAACAGTATACTGTTGCCGCAGACGACCTCCTGAAGGTCGAGAAACTTGACGCCGAAGCCGGCGGCACCGTCACTTTTGAAGACGTGCTCATGGTAGGCAACGGCACGGACACCACCGTTGGGGCTCCGACCGTGGAAGGCGCCAGCGTTGTTGCGGAAGTGGTCGATCAGGGCCGTGGCCGCAAGATCATTATTTTCAAGAAGCGCCGGCGCCAGAATTCCCGCCGTCGCAATGGTCACCGTCAGTCCTACACCCTCGTCAAGGTGACGGACATTCTGACAGGTGGTGCAAAGCCGGCCAAGAAGGCAGCGCCGAAAAAGGCTGCGCCGAAGGCCGACGAGCCGAAAGCCGAGGCAGCTCCGAAAGCTGAAGAAGCCAAGGCAGACGTGAAGGAAGCCAAAAAGGAAGAAGCAGCCGTTGAGCCGCTCTTCACCGCACCGGAAGGCAAGGACGATCTGAAGAAGATCTCCGGCGTCGGCCCGGTTCTTGAGAAGAAGCTGAACGCTCTGGGTATCACCACCTATGAGCAGATCGTCAACTTCTCAGCGGAAGACATCGCCCGCGTTGATGAGGTCCTGAATTTCAAGGGACGTATCGAACGCGACAACTGGGTTGAGCAGGCCAAGGAACTGGCAGGCAACTGAGCCGCCGTTTCTCACCTGTTGATTAAGTATTCGAAGAACGAGGAGTTCTAACGATGGCACACAAGAAGGCAGGCGGTTCATCCCGCAACGGCCGCGACTCAGCTGGCCGCCGTCTCGGCATCAAGAAATATGGCGGGGAAGCCGTGATTCCCGGCAACATCATCGCTCGTCAGCGTGGCACCCAGTGGCACCCGGGCACCGGCGTGGGCATGGGTAAGGATCACACCATTTTCGCGACCGTGGAAGGCAAGGTTCAGTTTAAGGCGGCAGCCAACAAACGAACCCTCATTAATGTGGTCCCAGTGGCGGAAGCTGCGGAGTAAAGCCGACGTGAATTTTCGAAACGCCGGCGTCCCACAAGACCCCGGCAATTCGAGACAGGTCAGCAACCAGAGACCAGTCGAAGATCTAAGGGGGAGATGGGGCGCCATCTCTCCCTTGATTTGTTTTGCCTGGAGGAAAAGATGGTTGTTGAAAGCGATGGATTGTTAGACGAAAGCAGTTTGGCAGCGGCCCCGTTGCCGCAGGAAGCGGTTCATGTACGGCTCGACAAGCCGCGCAAGGACGATGTGGCCGACCTGGTGTTTCTGGCCAACAACAAGACCGTGGCGGCGAACCTTGCCGCGATGCCTCATCCGTTCACACTCGACAATGGCCGCACCCTGATCGCACGGGCCGGGCAGGTGCGGAAAAATTCCGCCCTCTTTGCCATTCGCCTGAAGAGCACCGGCCGCTTGATCGGTGTTGCGAAATACGCAGCGGTGGAAGAGGACGGCGTCGTCCATGTCGGCTACTGGCTGGGCGAGCCCTTCTGGGGCCGCGGTTACGCAACGGAGGCGGTGCATTCCCTGGTGGATCACGCCTTTGCGTATAACGACATCGAAGAGCTTCAGGGGTCGTGCAGGGTAACCAATCCGGCTTCGCGCCGCGTCCTGGTCAAATCCGGGTTCCAGTATCGGGATCAGGCGATGATCCGTTCCGTCGGTGCGGGCGGCTCCGTACCGATCGAGCGGTACACACTGGAAAGAGCTGTTTGGAAATCCTTGAAAGGCTGGGGGCAGGGACGATGACCATATTGCCGGAATTGAGAACACGACGCCTGATATTGCGGCCAATCGCCATGTCGGATGCGGAAGCAATCATGGAACTTGGTGGCAAGGACTTCGAGGTCGCCCGGTGGATGACGTCCTTCGCCTGGCCCTACGAAGACGGCTCGGCGGAGGCTTTCCTGAAAACCGTCGTCGGCAAGAACCCTCTGGAAACCGAGGCGGTGTTCGCGATCACGCTTGGTGGCATTTTCATAGGGATCGCGGCGGTCGAAGCGCCGGGTGATCTGGCGGATCTGTCGGATCATCCCACCATCGGGTACTGGATCGGCCGGGCGTTCCAGGGGCACGGTTATGCCAGCGAAGCGGTGGAAGCGATCATCGACTGGGCGTTTTCCGCATATGGAACCGACGCCATAGCGGCCCGCGCCTTTGAGGACAACTTCCGCTCCAGGGGCCTTCTGCGCAAGCTCGGGTTCAAGCCCTACAGCATCACCGAACGGTTCTCCAAGGCGCTTGACAGAAGGGTCTCCAACGTTGTCGTGCGTCTGTCTCGAGCCGATTTCGAGGCGCGGAAGGAAGCCGCATGAGCAAGCCGGTCATCAGGACAAGCCGACTGGTTCTCCGGGCGCCGAACCCGGAGGATCTTGACCGGTGTGCTGTTCTTCTCGGCGACTATGAAGTTGCCAAGATGTTGTCGCGCGTACCGTACCCTTATGATCTCGAACTGGGGCGGCAGCATCTGGCAAGATCCGTGAAACGTTGGGAATACATCGTGGACGCGGATGAACTCGGCTTTCACATTGACCATGAAGGCGATTTGATCGGAGGTGTCGGCTTCAAAAAGTTGCAGGAGACACCGGAGATCGGCTATTGGCTGGGGCGCCCTTATTGGGGCAAGGGGTTCATGAGCGAGGCTCTGGATGCAGCTATCGGCTGGATGTTCGAAAACACCGGACACGAACGGCTGGCCTGTGAAGCCATGACGGAGAACCAGGCCTCGATCAAGGTGATGGAAAAAGCCGGATTTCGGCCGGTTGGCGAAGTCGGTTGCGCAAGCGTGTCACGCGGTGAAACCCTGCCGGCCATCAGAAGTGAAATGACGCGAACAGACTATTTGAGCAGTCTTTGACCAACCATGGTCATGGCCTGACAACAGGATACAAAGAGAAGAAAAATGAAATTCCTCGATCAGGCCAAGGTCTACGTCCGTTCCGGCAATGGTGGCGCCGGCTGTGTATCGTTCCGGCGCGAGAAATACATCGAATATGGCGGTCCGGACGGTGGCGACGGCGGCAAGGGCGGTAACGTGATCGTTGAATGTGTCGATGGCCTGAACACGCTGATCGATTACCGCTACAAGCAGCACTTCAAGGCCGAAACCGGCATTCACGGCATGGGGCGCAATCGCACCGGAGCCCACGGCAAGGACGTCGTGCTGAAGGTTCCGGTCGGGACGCAGATACTCGAAGAAGACAACGAGACGCTGATTGCAGATCTGACGGAACTCGGGCAACAGGTTCATCTTCTGAAGGGCGGGAATGGCGGCTTTGGCAACGCGCATTTCAAATCGTCGGTCAACCAGGCACCGCGCCGGGCCAACCCGGGCCTGGAAGGCGAGGAAAAGTGGATCTGGTTGCGGCTGAAACTGATCGCCGATGCCGGGCTGGTCGGCTTGCCGAATGCTGGCAAGTCGACATTCCTGTCCAAGGTATCGGCCGCCAAGCCGAAGATTGCCGATTATCCCTTCACGACGATCCATCCCAATCTCGGGATCGTTCAGATCGATGGCAACAGCTTTGCCATGGCGGACATTCCGGGTCTGATCGAAGGGGCTCACGAGGGAACCGGACTTGGCGACAGGTTTCTTGGTCACGTGGAGCGGACGCGTGTGCTTCTGCACCTGGTGGACGGTTCCGGGTTGGAGGATCCGGGCGAATCCTACAAGGTGGTGCGCGGCGAATTGGAGGCCTATGGCGGCGGGCTCGCCGAGAAGCCGGAAATCGTCGCACTTTCGAAGTGTGACGCCCTGACGGAAGACCTGATCGCCGAAAGGTCGGCAAGCCTGGAGGCATCCTGTGGTCAGAAACCGTTGATCCTGTCCTCGGCAAGCGGCCTGAACGTGGACCGGGCATTGCGCATGATCGTGCGCGCGATCGACAAGGACAAGGAGGATGCCGCCAATCAGGTCCCGGCTCCCGAACAGGAGGGATGGCACCCCTGATGTCGGTTTCAGCCTCCCGAAGTCTCAGCTCCTTCAAGCGGATTGTTATCAAGATCGGTTCTGCTCTCCTGGTCGAAAAGGGAGAGTTGAAGCGTGACTGGCTGGAGGCTCTTGTTTCCGACATCGTGCGGCTAACGACCGAAGGCGCCGACATCCTGATCGTGTCGTCCGGCTCGATCGCCCTTGGAAGGGGCACACTTGGTCTGCCGAACGGACCACTGAAACTGGAAGAAAGCCAGGCGGCGGCGGCTGCAGGACAGATTGCACTGGCGCAGGCCTATGCCGGGGCGCTCGGCAGGCACGGAAGAAAAGCAGGCCAGATCCTGCTCACGCTGGGAGATACGGAGGAACGGAGGCGTTATCTCAATGCCCGGGCAACCATCGGAACCCTTTTGAAGATGGGCGCCGTACCGATCATCAATGAGAACGATTCCGTCGCCACGTCCGAGATCCGCTACGGTGACAATGACCGCCTGGCCGCCCGTGTCGCGACCATGGCGAGTGCCGACTGCCTGGTGCTGCTGTCGGATATCGACGGGCTCTACACCGCGCCACCTGCGCAAAACCCGGATGCCGTCTTCCTGCCTGAAGTTTCACGCATAACTGCGGAAATTGAAGAGATGGCCGGAAGCGCCGGATCAGAACTGTCCCGTGGCGGTATGAAAACCAAGATTGATGCAGGCAGGATCGCAACAGCCGCCGGAACTTCCATGGTCATCACCTCGGGCAAGGAATTGCATCCGCTGTCGCGTCTGACAGAAAGCGGGCGGGGAACATGGTTTCCGGCACTCGCGACCCCGGCAAGCGCGCGCAAGGCGTGGATCGGCGGTCATCTGGAAACGCGCGGTGACGTTACACTGGATGAAGGAGCGGTCAGGGCAATGAAGTCCGGCAAGAGCTTGCTGCCGGCAGGTGTCATTTCTGTCTCCGGTACGTTCTCTCGTGGTGATGCCGTTGTCCTCCTCCGTCCGGACGGAAGAACGATCGGACGTGGTCTCATCGCCTATGACGTCGACGAGGCCAGATTGATCGCCGGCCGCAACAGCCGCGAAATCGAGGCGATTGTCGGCTATCCGGGCCGGGCGGAAATGATCCACCGGGATGATCTGGTGCTTGAGGATGCGTTTTTGAACGGAACACGTTAAAACGCTCCATGTTCTGCGGTCCACAGAGCCGCTATTCGAGGAGTTTGTGAGTATGCTGGAAGTGGTCGAGGCCCGAACAACAGAAGATCTCATGGCAGAGATCGGGCAGCGTGCCCGGGCTGCCGGCCGGGTTCTTGCCACGGCACCAGCTGCTGTGAAAAACAGCGCCCTGAGCGAGATGGCGCAGGCGGTGCGTGCGGCGACACCGGATATTCTTGCCGGCAACAGGCGCGATGTCGAGGCCATGACCGCCAATGGTCAAACGGCGGCTTTTCTCGACCGGGGTACACTGAGTGAAGAACGGATCGAGGCGATTGCCAGGGCGCTGGAGGATATCGTTGCCCTTGACGATCCTGTCGGTGGTGTGATTGCAGCATGGGAACGCCCGAACGGCCTGAAGATAGAGCGTGTACGAACACCGCTCGGCGTGATCGGTGTCATTTATGAAAGCCGCCCGAACGTGACCGCGGATGCAGGTGCGTTGTGTCTCAAGGCCGGCAACGCCGTGGTATTGCGCGGAGGTTCCGACACAATTCAATCCAACATGGCGATCCATAAAGCACTGCAAAAGGGGCTGAAAGCGGCCGGGTTGCCGGAAGACGCGATCCAGATCGTGCCGGTAACAGACCGGGCGGCTGTCGGTGAGATGTTGAAGGGGTTGAACGGAAATCTCGACGTTATCGTTCCGCGCGGAGGACGCAGTCTCGTAGAACGTGTCCAGACAGAAGCGCGCGTGCCTGTTTTTGCCCATCTGGAAGGTCTGGTTCACATATTCGTCGACAAGGCAGCCGACCTGCCGAAAGCCGTTGATATTGTCGTGAATTCGAAGCTCAGGCGCACCGGCATCTGCGGGGCGCTGGAAACGCTTCTGGTTGACGAGGAAGTCGCGCACGGTCACTTGCCCGTCATCGTGAAGGCCTTGCAGGACGAGGGATGTGAAGTTCGCGGCTGCGATGTCGTACGGGACATCTGCGAGAATATCGTTCCCGCCAGCGAAGATGACTGGTCGACCGAGTATCTCGACAAGATCGTGTCTGTCAAAGTGGTGCCGGGCCTTGAGGCGGCGATGGATCATATCGCCACTTACGGGTCGAACCATACCGATTGCATTCTGACGGAAGACGGTGCCTCTGCACAAAGGTTTCAGGCAGAGGTGGACTCAGCCATCGTTCTTCACAATGCTTCGACTCAGTTTGCCGACGGCGGCGAGTTCGGCATGGGAGCGGAGATCGGAATTGCGACAGGACGCATGCATGCGCGCGGCCCCGTCGGCGTCGAACAGCTGACCAGCTTCAAATACAAGGTTCATGGTGAGGGTCAGACGCGTCCATGACTTCATTCGGTCCTGGAGGGGAACTCGACCGAGATTGGCTGAAGCTGCCCCATGTCGAACCCGGGAACCGCATCGGCCTTTTCGGCGGATCCTTCAATCCGCCCCACTCAGGCCACCGTCTGGTTGCTGAAACGGTCCTGAGGCGTCTGGGGCTTGATCAGGTCTGGTGGTTCGTGACGCCCGGCAACCCGCTCAAAAGTCATGCTGACCTGGCGCCACTTGAATTGCGCATGCATCTGGCCCGCGCTCTGGCGGATCACCCGCGAATGAAAGTGACCGCTTACGAGGTTGTTCTGGGCACTCCCTATACGGCCAGGACAATTGCCGCTTTGCGCGCAATGCGGCCTTCAGTGCGATTCGTTTGGGTTATGGGTGCTGACAATCTTGCCGGTTTCCATCGATGGCAGGACTGGCGCACCATTCTCGGTTCCGTTCCGGTCGCAATCGTAGACAGGCCGGGTGCATCGCTTTCAGCTCTTTCGTCGCCAATGGCAAAAGCCTATGAAAAATATAGGCTTCCCGAGGAAGACGCGTCGCTGCTGCCGAATTTGGACCCACCAGTCTGGACGTTTTTGCATGCACCACTCGACCGCACATCGTCTACGGATTTGCGGAAATTTAACACATTGGACATTGCCAAAGTTACCAAGAAAACGGCGCTGTCTTGAAAATGCCAAAAGGGAAGCTGTATTATAGGGGTGGTCGCGATGAACGCGGCCGAGGTACGGTCAACCGGTCCTGTATTCAAAACGGGTGACGTAGAAACCGAACTATCTGGTTCGTGACGACGTTGGACACAGGGCGGCATAAACGGCGAAAGGCACTACACCTGACCATGACCTTTGAAAGTGGGCGGACAGAATTGTCCTCTCCTCTGCAGGCTTCCGTAAGCGCTGATCTTGCGGCAGGTCTCCTCGATACGGTTCTGAGCAGCCTTGACGATTCCAAAGCTGAGGACCTGATAACTCTCGACATCGCAGGCAAAAGCTCCCTCGCGGATCACATGGTAATTGTGTCCGGGCGTTCCCATCGTCACGTTGGGGCCATTGCGGACCATTTGCTGAAGGATCTGAAATCGGCCGGATTGAAATCGGCAACGGTGGAAGGTCAGAGCACCTGTGACTGGGTGCTGATCGATGCAGGCGATGTGATTGTTCATATTTTCCGTCCGGAGGTACGCGGTTTCTACAATCTCGAAAAGATGTGGGCACCGGACACGGACGAAGCGCCGCAATATATCGGCTGAACGGGATCTTGGTTCAGATGCACCTCGTCAAGGAACCCCCTGAAGAGTGGCTGGTGGACATAAAACCCCCAAGAGGGTCCCTCATGAACATTCTTCATGCGCACATCCACTTCTTTTTTTTGCTCCGCCACGATGGACTAAGCCCATGGACAACTCTCCTCGCCTTTTAGTCATCCTAACATCTCGGAGTCGGCAGCTTTCGGCCTCACTCGGAGACTAAAAACGGCCCAAAAGCCAACTCATCGGCTCCGAGATCGTTCTCTTTCGCCTTTGTCACCTGCGAAAGCATCGATCGGCCCAACTCATCGCTTGTCTTTTGCCGCACTCCACGGAATAAATTTAGATACTCGCTGGGACTACAAATCAATCCCCAATCTACCGCTAGTTCCCCAGGTTCCACCAGTCAAACTGATCTGACGCCGTCCTGCCTTCGGGCCCTCCGATAGGCTGTGGTCCCCCAATGGGCTGAGGCCCACTGGGCGGTGGCGTCTTCGCTGCGGGGGGCGTTGGTGCGGGTGGGCCAGGCGGGCCGGGCGGGCCAGGTGGCCCGGGCGGACAGCCCATGCCCGGGCAACCCATACCCATGCCGCCCATGGGCATGCCCATGCCCATCCCGCCCATGCCCATTCCCATACCCATGCCACCCATGCCCATGCCACCCATGCCCATGCCGTTGCCCATGCCGCCCATGCCGCCCATGCCGCCCATTGGCGCATTGCCCATTGGAGGAGACCCCGAGCAGTTGGAGCCCATCGGACCATTCCCGCCCATGCCTCCTGGACAGCCCATTTGCCCCAGTTGCCCACCCTGCATGTTTCCCATTTGCATCATTCCGGGCATCATCATGCCCGGCATCATCATGCCTGGCATCATGCCCCCCATCATCATTGGCATACCCATGCCTCAGCCAAGCGGCGAATCAATGGCTGGGAACACAAGAGCAACAATTCTAGATTCCCCATTCTTTTCAACCACCGTTCTTTTTCAAGAACCAGCTGTTTCCCCTGGGGTTCTGATGGTTTTCTGAAAAGAAGGATCCCTGAAAAGAATGGGGAAGTGTCCCCTAGAACAATGCACTTTGATGCGCTGATCCGTCACTCCTGAAATCTTCCAAGCTGCCCATAGGCATGCCGCCCATCATGCCTGGGGCTCTGATCAGGTGACACTCCAAACCCCGACGTAGAGGGGCACACATTTTTAGTGTTGCTTTAGGAATTGAACAACAATAATTCCATGCATTGACTGCACGGAAAAGCATCCATGGCAAAATTGCGTCGTGCAGCCCCGGCCTTGCATCATGCCTTTCATCATGCCTGCAGGCTCATCATCAGAGTCCTCCTCCTCCCCTGACTCGCCTGCGGCTGGCAAGCAGGCTTTCGGCTTCCCGATGCTTCGCAAACTCATCAGCCCCCACCAGGACGGATTTGTTTTTACTAATTGGCACGAAATATGTTACGACCAAGCATAGGGAACCCGCTTACGCCAACATCACGTCCTGAGTTGCATGTGTGGAAGTACAGAACCTCTGCGTTTCGGCGCATCGCCACGTGCACAGGCCTTGTTGTTGCTGGCCGAGCGCAACCTGCCACAGTGCTTGTACAAGGAAAGCGGAATATAGCTCTGGTTTGCTCTACTTTCCCAGGTGAGAGCCTCACAAATGTTCCGGAACCTTTGGCGTCCTTGTGGAATGGGTCACACTCAGGTGGCTTCCCTTCCAATCGGAAGGATGTGAATTCTGTGTCAATGCCATCCGAGGCAGATACTGGCTGGTGCTTGGAGATCTATTTGGTCAAGTGGCCATCCCCGGCACCATCCCCCGCTTATTTGCTCGACCCTGAATGCCGGCCCATGGTGCAGCCATGTTTCAACAAGCAACTCGTTGCAACGAATCACTGGATTCGCAAAGCTATAGGGAGGTCTCACGCTGAGACTAGTGACACCCACTGTTCAAAGTGGCTTAAAAAGGACACTTGCTGAGTGGATGGCTCAAAAAAAGTCCAAACTTCATATTTACCACGAAAATGGTCTTCCCAAAAAGTTTAAAGTTCATGAACTGAGGAAGTGAGACTGCTGTGGATGTTGGCAGCACAGGGTTTCTAGATATTGTTTGTCCACGGTATGACCACGGTCTGACCACGGTACTTTTCGGCCTGAACGGTTGAAAAGGAGGATGAACCCGAAAACCGACAAGGCAAACAATCGAAAACTAACCGTTGCTCGGTGGGTTGGATTCGTTTGGGGATTTGAGTCCCTGGTTTAAGCAGGTAGATAAGAAACCAGCACTTGACCACCAAACCACCGGGCTCCAAACCACCAACTACTGTGGATGGACAAGATCCATTTACGCACTGTTCAGAACCCCTCGAATCTTGATTCCCCTGTGTTTCATTTTGACAACAAACCTTCTGGTTTCAACCAAACCCTGCCATGTTGACTCCCACCATAAATTACCAACCACCTTCTAAGGTTTCAACCATGGCAACTCATTTCGTGGTGCCAAGCGCCGGAGTTCGATTTCGCCCATCCCTCCAGCTTCGGCGTCGCTTCGGCGTCGCTTCGGCGTCGGTTTCAACGCGCCTTCGGCTCAAAGGGCACCGAGGGGCCCAGGGGCCGCGGCGGCGCGCCCTGGCGAATCGGTGTGGCTGCGAGAAGGGAAGGAGAGACATGGAATGAACCCGGACCGTCCCTTCCTTTCCTGATTTGGGGGAATCTTGGGTTCATGTCTTCCGCCAGCAGCTTCTTCCTTTCCTTTCCTGCAGGAAGATTGGGTTCATTTTTTCCGCCATGCTTGCATCAAGTGACTCTGGACCTACACAATTGCTTGTTCATAGGGCCGTGGGGGGTGGTTTTGGCCCCTCCAAAAGTGGCCTGATTCCCGACTAAACCCATAAACAGGGGTCGACATGAACTAGGTCCTCCAGTAGAGAGATGCTCGAACAAGGGTACCCACTTTTGTCTTTTTGGTCTATTTCGTAGGGGAACCTCCCAACCAAAAAAGGGTGAGAGGTCGGGCACCTAGCTGGGATACCTAGCATAAGTAGGGAATGAGACATGGAACGAACCCCAACCATCTGCTTCTACTCCAGCAGCTCCGAAGATGGCCTTCATTTCCTGGGGGGAATTTCGGGTTCCTTCCCTTCCCTACGGAGCAGCAAGATCAGGATCGGTCTGGTTTTAGGTACAGGGTTCTACCTGTTTGACTAGACTTCAACGGGGGGAAAAGGTCCTCTAAACGGCGAACCCACAGGTTTAAGTCCATCTTGTAGCGCAAGAGTAGAACCCTCGTCAGGGAAGGGCCAAAGAAACCTTTGTCTTGACCCCTCAAATTAATAATGCTAATAAACAAAAACCAAAAAGGCCGGCCCCCCCAAGTGGCGCCAGAAATCTTGACAAACCTCCAACAAATTTAAAGCGATTCACCAATGTAGAGCTTGCCGCTGGCAATTTTAAGCAGGGATTGGGGCGATCCTTCAGGCCTTTGGCTTCTCAAAATGCCACGAGAACGGCACAACACGACCGGAGGGAGTCCGATTTCGTCACAAAGGGGCGATGGTAGTGGGTTGGAGTTAGTGAAAAACAGGATTAAAACCACTCAATAAGAAACAACAAGGCGAGTGGAAAGACTGGGCCAAACCACACAAAAACCACCAACAAATCACCAAACAGCCACCAAAAAAGCACACACAAACACCAAAAAACCACCAACCAACCAGACACAAACACCAAAAACACGAGAAAGCCGGGGCCCGGGCGGTGCGATCCGGGGTCTTCTCCCGCTTCTCCGCATGGTCGCAGGTCTGCACGTAGGCGTCGATGAGCTTCTTGGACTTCCTGAGAGGGGTGGAGTGGCTCCTTTCTGGGGCTGGAAAGGTTAAAGGGAGACCACAGCGAGCCCCTTTTTTGGGGTGGGTTTTTAGAGCCCTTTCGTGGTTTGGCTCCTACCTGGGGGTGGTTTCGCTCCTTTCCGAAGCTTTTTTTTTTAAGGAAGAGCGAACCCTTTTTGGGGTTGGTTTTTACACCCCCTTTAGGGGTGGGGTTTAATATGAAGCCCGGATTGATGGGTGGGGGTTGAAAGGGAAACCACAGCGAGCCCTTTTTTTGGAGTGGGTTTTGAGAGCCCCAAATGGTTTCAACCACACAAGAACACGACGTTAAACTGAAGAGAAGTTGCTTCAATCACTGGGCCAGCTGGTTGGTTTTCACTCAAGCCTTTTGACTCTGAAGCGGCTCTCCTAAGGGGATGTAAACACGTGAGTGAATGATGTTGTGGGTCAAAAATATGTACCCACAATGGAATCCAGGTAAATGGAAACATGGACCCGAACCTGCGGTCCCCTGGTGGTTTAATTCTGACCCATACCGATATTGATCAACCCCTGTTTATTGATATGAGGGTGGAGGCCCTTCCAGTGAGAAATCCCCACAACCAGGAACGCCCCCATACTAATAAACAGGGTTTATTAATCCGGGGTCAACACTACAGGGAAAACAACAGATTACTTCCGAACGAGTCGATTGGCACACAAAAAAAGTCAAACCCTGTTCGTTTGCCACTGGAAGGGTTTTCCCCAAAAGTATAAAGTTCAGGAACTCGGGAAAGCCATTCTTGGGGTCCAACCTAAACCCCAAATTGGGATCGCGTGTGCCTTTTTGGGGGTTCCGGAACAGCCTGCGCCTTTTTGGTGTCCCGTATGGCACACCAAAAAAGCTCAAGTCCAACAAAAAGATCACGGAAAATGTGGGTCCGAAGTTCCCGTTGTAGATCTGCAAATGACAAGTGCTACCGAATCCGGGAAACCCACGGTTGGTTGGGAAAAGCAAGGTGTCCCTTTAGGTCTTCTTCAACATCAATTCGAACGCAAACATTGATCTCCGCGAGAAAAACGCGTGAGAAGGGAATGGCAAAGTGTTTCACCGAAATAAAGCTGGCATCTCAACACATCAAGTGACCGTGCATCTGCTGAAAACGAATAACTCGGTGGGTCTGTCCGCGGCCGTCTTGAGTCGAGTCTTTCTGTTTCTTTCAAGGGCCAACACAAGCCAAAGCGACCCAGCTCGTATGAATGTGCCACTTTCTTCATATCACACCATCACCACGATAAACCGGAAGGGCATCATTCAAAGCAATCCCGTTTTTCTTTGTTTCAAAACCGGGGGACATCAAAACCTATGATCTTGCAGAGAAGTTTGGTCGGCCTTTGGACGAGCTGCAGCTTTTCAACGAATCGGCCGTTCAAGTCAAAGACTAAGCAGTCCTGGCAGGACCCAGCAAACCCAGACTGACTACCGGAACAGCCACGTCCACCTCTTCGATGCCCTCAAAGTCAAGACCTTGTCTTCATACTAAGATGGCGCCTGCCTCCCACATCCAACCTTGTTCTGTCTCAAGCTAGTCGTACTCTTTGCACCTTGCTGCCTTTTCAAACCTGGCACAAGAAGTGGCAACACCTCACTTCGGCGGCTCTTCCCAAAAACAGCTTGCAAACCACCCCCCCCCCCCAAAGCCCCAAAATCCCGAGGGTAGAGAAGTGCGGTCGTAAGCACAAGGGCAAACTGTTGGTTTTCCACTAAAACTGTCAACCCCAAAATTTGGTTTCCGTTCAAAGGAAACTCAGTGGTCCTTGAGTGTGATGAAGGACTCGCGGTCCTCCCCGCCGATCCGCTTGTCCACTAGCTTGCCTCAGGAATCCCATTCCATCCATGGGGGTCAGAAGGCCTGCAAGACTTCCCAGCCTTCGTAGTCTGCGTTGTCCTCTTCAGCTCCATGTTTTCCAGCACACCTGGGGCGATCAAATTTTGTTTTGGGGGTACCAACTTCTGTTTGGTGCTTCTAACAGGCGGAATGGAAAAAAAAACACAAGCACCCATTTTTGCGGGCCCAAACCCAAAAAAAAGACGCACCCCCATCGCATACATCGCACGCGTTGAGGGCCATGCCTGTAGGTAATGCGCACATAGCTGCCCATCTTGAATCCTGGCAGCGTGGCCTTCCGAAGCCCCACTGCACTTCGCTCCCAAAGCGCCAGATATTATTATTATTATTTTTTTTGTTTTATCAAGACTGGGGCCCCGGATTTGTTTTTTTTCGACGTTCCGAAGCAAAGAATTCCTTTACCACAGAGGCCTTTCAAAACCTGAGTCTATTGTAAAATTCATGGGACCCTTGACGTTTTTCGGGCCCTTTTCGCGCCTCTGGTCGGCATGCGGCGGTTGCTGATCGGCTTGGTGCGGACCAACCCCGCCTGCCAGGCTACGATACCCAAGCTGACATGGGTTGCTATGTGAACCTAACCTGCCACCCGAAAAAAGCTTCCGTAGCCGTAGACCCCTTCCTAACTCCTGAAATCGATGGCACTGGTAAATGATTCGAACAAGCTGATCCAATCTTAGCACACAAGGCTTCAAATGTTATGCGAGCAAGGAGTCTTAGCCATATTCCCCTGACCTCTTTCAACTCGCAAGGTCCCTGACTGTTTGGAAGACATGGGTCGAAATATAAAGATGTCTCTTTGTGAGGGGACCCTGTTTTGGCAAAGGGACACCTAAAGGCATGCAGCCCATCGGTCCGCCACAAAATGGACGAGCCACCCAAATGAAAGCCGGGCCTGGCCACCCATTGGGCCCGACATCGCTCGCCAACTGCACCTCGCGGTTCGTTTGTTTCGGTCCAAAGCGCCCAACAGGTCCCCAAATGTCCGGAAATTCCCGACGAAAGCGGCCGAACAATGGGGGTGGCCCATGAGACGGGTTTCGGCCAGGGCTGTGGGGAATGGAATCCACTTCTGTGATACAACAGAAAGGGCCTTCCAAAGACTAATTTGATCACAGAAACGGGCATTCCCTTGTATCACAGAAGTGGGGCTAAACCCCTTGATCACACAACCCTGGTTTCGGCCATTTGACAAAGATATAGGTAGCACCGCACCCGAAACATAGAACCAGAAGTCTCATTGATGTACCGACTGCATCGAAACATACAGTCTTGCAAAAGGCGTCAGACTTCCATGCTGCTGGACTCGTCGCGTTTTACGTGGCTTGTGCCTCTGTGTCATCCTTGTATTCAATGCCAAAGGGATCCAGCCCCATGCTGATCCCCTCACAAAAACCAACAATTGATTGAAAGAGTCACAGGGTATTGAGGTGGCGCGTCCAAGAAGTTTCGCAACAAACCACCCCTTGAAACCAGCCGCTTGAAGGCCTCGAAAGATTGACACCCAAAGCTGACTGCTTCCATGCTCGGGCCTTGCCTCAGTGAGCCCAACCTGCTTGCCAGGTCCGATAAATTTCAGGACAAAATGGCGATGTGCGTGGTTGTTCTGAGGATAAGAGTCCTTGTCAGTTGAACTAAGCGGGAAGGTCCCAGAGCCTCCAAACCCCCAATCCACACCACAAGTTGTCTTCAAGGCATTGCCTGAATGCTTGCTGCTCGCTTTTGGTGGGCATCACGACCAAACATGCTTGCATGTTTCCGCCCAAAACAATGACCTTGCCCCCGCTGCAAAAGTCTACTCCCAAGACGACCACGTAGAGTTCAGCAACATCTTGTCTCCTGTACACACGATCCAAGGATTTGTGTGACGAACCACCGTGAACTAGCTCAAGGTCCACGAAAGATTTGCCTCCCCGAGAGGTGCCCGGGCCTGAACACCCATCCAATTGGCTAAGGAGCCGCTTTCAATAGCTTCAAAATTTCCCCAACGTCGGCTTGATTGCTGCGTTCGTCCACGAGATTTGGAGTTGCCCTGGATTGCACATGTGTTTTGTTGTTCTGTAACCAGGGCCCGCACGCGCTGTGCAGGCACACTGCTGGGCAAACGAAGTTGTTGGTCCCGAATACATGACGTCGGGCTTGTGCCAAACACTGCAGTCAAATCCGCACAAGTCGTTCCAAACCTTTGCATGAAGCATGTCCTGCGCAAGCACTTGGCTTCTTCGCATTGCTACGGAGCGGAGCAGTTTCCTCCTGGCAGGAAACATTGCAAGTCAACGTGGTGAATGAAACGCAAGAAACTGCCAGTCACGGGTGAAGACGAATAAACCGGCGTGAGCTATCATGAACTTACAGACCTGAAATAAGGATCACGATGGGTGTGATCGCAATCCCCCTGACTGTGAAGTGGCTCTGCTGTGTCCAGCTCAAACGCATCCAGGTGTTCCTCAAAAACATCCTCGAAAATCCTCGTCCCCTGTTTGGAAGAAGCGGACACCAAAAGGAAACCGACCTCTTGAGAAGGCCCAATGCCGAACCCTTTCATGGCCCAACGGTTCCACTTTCTTCCGCTCGCTCGCTTTTCATGGGTGCCAGCTCATGGCTTCTGCTCCAGGCCTGCGGACACTGGGAGGGAACTCATGTGAGCAATGGGTCAAAATCCAAAAAGCCCGTACCCCCAGTGAACATCCCAATCCAAACACTAAAATAGACTAAATTGGGTGGTGCACCGAAAACTCCAAAATGGTACCATTGGCTTTGACCCACAACCATGTGAGCCATGGCAGAATGATCGAGGCTCTCTCATCTCAGCTGTCCTACTGTGGGTGGTTGCGAAATGTTGGTTGGTGTGAAGCCATTGTTGGTTTGTATTTGCAGTTGAATCGAATCATTCCAGGGTTTCTGAACGGTGGTGCGACTTGGATTTTGTGCATCCACAGGAGGACAGCTGAGTCAAGAGTCCCCTGGTGTTTCTCGGAGATTTCGCTCGCCCATGTACACGTGCATCGTACCGAGGCCAAACACACAAACGCCCCTTATGATATTTATTGGAACCGGCATCTCTCGAGGGCGAACGCGTTCAGCGACCTGGCACTGGGTCCTCTAAGCGTAGCGCCGGGACAGGAAAGGGCACTAGAGTCGCTAGAGCGAAAGCACCGCAAGAAGGTCAAGACCAAAACAAAGAGGGTGCAGTCACGCAGAAGGCTGAAGCGGAAACTTTCTTTTTAGGACCCTTGCACTGACTGTGACTCGCAAACTTCCACACAAACATCGACTGAGCCAGCATAACCAGGTCCTCCAGTAGAGAGGATAGAATAAGGGTACCAACTTGCTTCTGTCTATTTTGGTAGGGGAACCCTCCCCGCAAAAAAGGGGCTAAGAAGGTCACTACTGGGGACCTAGATAATGAGGCATCCAAAGAGCTCCGAGTCTACTCCAAACCATCTCCCCATGCAAAACCCGTGAGAATCAGATCAATGCAATGCAACTCACTGACCGGCCTAGAAAGGGAGCCACCCTCCAAACGTGCGCACACAAAAAAAGAAGAAGACATATAATCCAAACAGAGCCCTCATGAAGTTCAAGGAATTGTTTGAATGAAGCAATAGAAAAGAACCAGAGGACAGTTTCTACGTTAACATGCAAATGAGTTCCCTTCGCACGACCTCAAGCGATCGACTCCTGTGTTAAATGTTTGTTTGAGTGACAATATTGAACATGACGTTGTGCCCATTGGCCGCACCTTCGTTTGTCCGCTTGTTCTGACTTTGCTCACCTCGCCTTGTAGCCCCTTGTATTCTGAGTCTTCGCGTATTTGCCCGGGGGGGGGGGGGGGATGAGACACTTTGCATGCAGTTTGCACCCCAGCGACCGCCAAACTCCTCGAAGTCCGAACTGCGCGCCTTTGGGCTTCTTGCCCGCCTCGCAGCAACAAAAACAAAAAGAACACGGGGGGTCGCAAAACGGCTCGAGCCTCTGGATCTTGTAACAGGCACTGGGATTTTCTCCAAACCCACTGTTGCATCAGAAAGCTGGCTTCCATTGCAACGATCGCCACTCAGTGCTCGCCACTTTTAGAGGGTCCAACAAGAGAAATGGAAAGAAGATTCGGAATCCTCCGAAACGGGCCCGAAAAGCACAACACATGAAACCTGGTTGCTTGGACACCAAGAGGATCTCAGCTGCCCCCCTCAAAATGGATTTGTTCTAGGGCACCGTGACTGGGAGAAGGATGGAGCCGGCACTGGTTTGCAAGGATTGCAACTCTTGTCTCAAAGGCTGGTTCAAAGGTGTGACCATCGGTCACCAGTTGGAAACCAGGTAGATAAACCAAAACAAACCATTGGCAACCGGTTGAGTCACTAAGACCTCCGAGAAGGCTGCGGTCTCTCACGGATGTGCCTTATCGGCTTGCCAAAGTGATCTCCATGCCTACTCCGTTTTTTGAAGAGAGCACTCAGAACATCCCTACTTGGTTTCCCAGCAACGCCTCCTCCCCGAGCAACTCAACTTCCAAAACCGTGCTGCATGAAGGGTTGTCCTGATCTTGGAAAAAGGATGGACACCTCATCATTGCCATTGCCGGGGACTCAAACACCGCGTTCTTTGTCGGTTTTGAAGGGAGAGCAGACCAAGGGATTCGCAAAAAAAGGACGCGTTTAGTGCCAACACACCGCCCCCCATACATGAACCATTGGTGTCAACTTTGGGCGGCTGAAGCACACCCACATAAAACTACACAGATCTCAAGGTCCAATATCTCTTTGTATCACCTGCCCATGACTAACCCCATGTCAGCCCCAACTACCAGAAAGTAGCTGGGATCTCTGCCCTTGGTTGTCATGCTCGGAGAAGTAACCCAGCATATGTGTTTCAAGATTCAGGCATGCTTTGAAACAACGTAAGACAGGCTCCAGATTGATCATAGCTGCCAAATGCCAAGAACTAGAAAGCCATAGAAGGGCAGTCCAGCATGCCAAGGGTAAAACCTCCACATGGAGTCATTTTTCAATTCTGTGCTTGTTTGTTTGTTCGTTTCGGTTGTTTGTTTGTTTGCTTGTCTGTTTGTCTGTTTGTCTTGGGAGGGGGTTGGTTAATCTGCGGGGAAGAAACCATGCACAGTGGGCCAAGGGTTAGCCCCCCGTCACCAGCCCGCCTGCGGCTGGCCCTCGCCTCCTGCGCCCGGGAAAAAACGGCTGTGAGTCAGACATATGTACCCAAAATTCTAAGGGTTTTTGTATTACACCCTATACACCCACTGGGTATTGACCCCATCTAGGCACATGTCCGGATAAAACCGGGTTCGTGTGGATGGACGTAGTCCGTTCGCACCACTTTGAAAGCATGGTTGAAGCCATTGTTGGATGATTCCGGGACTTCTCAGGTGGTGCAGGATCTCGTCCATGCACAGTAGGTGCCCAAAATGGCTTGCCGTGGTAAATGGACACATGCGCTAAGATCTGCGGTCCAATTCCTGGTGGCTTAATTTTGACCCATACCCAGATATTAAAAAAAGAAGGAACAGCGCTTCTTTGGGCCTGTGAAAAGCTTTAACTAATTTTCAGCTTCCCTCTTTCGTGGTGTAGAATATTACCTTTGGGCCAATTTAAGGGGAAGGGTCCCTCTGATGGGTGTCTTGGAGCCCGTTGGTTTGGTGAAAGGGAGGGGTAAACCCCATGTACCCCCGGGTGCAAGGGTCAAATCCCAAACCACCAATCCAAACCACCAACTAAGGGTTGCCTGAAATTTGGTGCTTCCCAACAGTCTTCCCAACGTAGGGAACTTCTGACCGTTGGTTTCTGCTTGATTCCGTTAAGGAAGCCGCCATCCATTGGTGCGAAGCAAAAGGAGACCAATCGTTGGACCAAACAACAGGCTCGCAAGGTGAAAGCCAATGATGCCTTTGTCATCAGTACATTGAAGAACGCCTTTTCCACACATGTCCGAGCACGAATGCTTCGTGAGTTCAACTTATGAAACATAAACAGGACTCTTCAGGGTTTTAGGTCGCGCCCTTTGAGCCTATGGCACCTCTCAGACGTGCTACAAACAGGACATTGTACAAATCGGGTTGGCTTGCAAAAGCTGGCAAAAGAGCTTCGACGTCCATTCCACAGCCCGGTACTCACATGTTCTCCAGCTGGTTGGTTGCTTTGAACTGACGGTGCCTGCTATCCCACGGTGGTTCAACCAAGCCTTCATATGCCAAAATCTTGTGCCTTCCGTCAGCAAAGCTTGGCATATTGCTTTGCTTTGAGGAACCTCGCTTTGGCGCATGAAAGGGTGGACACCTCGAATAGTCTCAAAGATCAGAAGCCAGCGTACGATGAACGCAGAGCTGAGAACTTGCAACTTTCTCGAAGGGTCGTGGAGAACTGATGATGTTCAGTATGCTGTCCAGAATGAAATTATCGTTTTGCATACTCTCCCATGTTGCCTTCACGGGCGCATTGTGGCTGTAGTTGTCAATCACCGTGCCTTCACGACTCAAAGGACTACAGGGCAAGCCTGATCACATGCTGCTGACAGAATGGCAGACTGTGTCAAACCTTGTTACAATCCATTTGGGGTGCGCTTCAAAACGTAAACGACGTCAAACACAATATGAAACCAACTAGCCCTGGCACCTACTGCTGTTGAGCCTCCCATGTGCGAACAAGACGGCAAGGCCCCCCAAGCAACACTGCGTCGGACGAGCCACATCAACAAAACATGATTTTGGATTGAACCATAACGTTCAGTACAGAACTCACATTCACGCACACCCTCAAGTTGCAATCGCCATTGCCACTTCAGTTTCAGATTCGACTTGAGTGGCCATGTATATGTCTGACATATTCCAACTGTGTCATGGTCATCGCTCTTGCTTGGTGCTGGAAATCGTCTCCTTGTTCCTGTGTGGCATCCGTTGACAGGCTCGCACAAGTCCCGCTGACTCCCCTTGCCCCAAGGACCAAGAAAGCAGCGAAACTCTGTTGGCCCAAACCTGCCTCTGATGACTTTAACGGCAATGAGGGGGGTTGAAGAGAACTCAGAATGACCCTAATCAGCGGGGCTCGCACACCCTGGATTTGATTCGGAATCCATCTGACAGAGCTTATGCATCGTACATCTTATAGACTGCCACAAATGGATGCTTAATAATAGGCTGAATAATATATATATATATATATATATGTATATATATATATAAATAGAACATATGTGGTGACATTGCCAACTTCATACTGCGCAACCTTCAAAAGCCGGCTCCTCCCATGTCCTTTTTCCTCTTCAGGAGCTTGCCTTAAGCCGGTGAAGCTGCCAACCCATTTTTCGTCGCTCGGAACCCGCCTACTTGACCCGTGATTTTAGAGTAGGAAAGCTGCACCAATAGTGCCCGAACGCATCTGCTTAGGCATAGAGCTTTGATGACATTGGCAAGGATGAACCACACACACTACCTGACAACATGAGAAGGCGCGGGAGGTTGCTGTACAGCGTCACCGATCTCCAAAAATGTTTAAACATAGACTTGGCTAGGGGAACAATTACAGAGCTAGAATGCTGCCGCAATGCCAATCGCTCGCTAGGAGTTAGCCAAAGTACTTGTGTAGCGCAAAAAACAGCACACAGCGTGACGAGTGGATAAGTCCGTCAGTCAGCCCGCCAGCAGGCCAGCCAGCCAGCCAGCCAGCCAGCCAGTCAGTCAGTCAGTCAGTCAGTCTGTCACTCGGTCACTCAACTCAGTGAGTGAGTCACTGACTCGGTGGCTCAGTCGCTCTCTGATTCACTGACTGACTCGCTGACTCTCTCAGCCTGCCAGCCAGTCAAGCGGCGAGTTGTACAGTCAATCAAACAGTTAGATACTCAGTCTGTCGCACATAATTTGAACTTATTGGCTTGATACTCAGTCGGCTGGTGGAGCACTTGGTCATTTGGTTGGTTGGCTGGTGAGTCAAATAGTTGATTACCCGAACACTTGCCAGTTGGCTTGCGAGTTCCTACGTGCGCTAAGGAATAGGCTTAGTGAATCGGCTTAGCCAGCTGCCGAGCTAAAGGGAGTTCATAACTAAGTATCTACACGAGTCTAGATGCGGGGGTTGTACAAAATTTCTTTGCCTGGGGACCCCCCAATCGCCGGCCAATCGCGATCCCACAAGGTCTAATCGTGGAGCAACGTTGGTCATCGCTGCTGCTCGTTTCGCTTTTCGCTGTCTTATCTCACGCGCTGGCCTTCCTCCATCCATACCTGAAGGAAGCAACATAGCTCGGATGGGCAGGCGCTCACTGGTGAAACTCGTCCAATCGCCATCCAATCACCGTCCAACCGCGGTCCAATCGCGGAATTCGGTGGTGAAACTTCGGTTTGCAGCTTCCAGCCATTGCCAGTAAGCAGATGTAAAAACCTGGGCCTGCGCCGTCGACATCAACCCAGCAGGAGCTTTTGTGCGAGCCCATGCAGTCAAAATGAGCGAGACGTGCGTCGGCACCACAATCTAAACACCGTGCAGCGTCTAAATTCACAATAATTTTGTTGCCCTTCCGCGGTCCAATCGCAGGCCGTTCGCGGCTTGAGTTGTCCCAATCGCGCGGCTTAACAAGTTGCCGCTGTTCATACGTTTTAGACACGCAATTACGGACGGCCCAGATAGACGTTTGGTCAGCAGGTTACTAAGTTAAACGAGCGGGCTACTTAGTTCGTTGTTACAAAGTGGTTGTGAGTGAGCTTATTAGAAACTGTTAGTAACAAGCAGTGACAATGTTGGTGAGATTGACAATCAATTGGGCAGTTTGTCGGTCGGTGTTGTGTCTTGTTTTGGATAACTGTCTAACATGCAAGAAGTAGTCTTTCATCCTGACAGCTAATTGCTCAGCCAGCGAATTAGTTTAACTTTGGTGTTTTTAGCTGGTCCGATTGAATCTCGGTTTCAGAAATTCAGCTTTGGCCTCAATGAAGTACATAGCTGCGCTGGTCAACATGGTGATAAAGCTACACAATAGTCAACCAAGGAAGCAAGGAAGCAAGCAAGCAAAAACATGACAAGCAACACAAACACACACACAAAATGACAAAAGAGAGCAAAAGAGACAGAGAGAGAGAGAGAGAGAGAGAGCGAGAGAGAGAGAGAGAGACACGCAAACACACACACACAGACACACACACACACACACACACACACACACACACACACACACACCCACCCACCCACCCACGCACGCACCCGCACCCGCACCCGCACCCGCACCCGCACCCGCACCCGCACCCGCACCCGCACCCGCACCCGCACCCGCACCCGCACCCACACACACACACACACACACACACACACACACACACACACACACACACACGCACCCACACACGAACGAACAAACAAACAAACAAACAAACACACTAACACACTCCTGTATCACCTCGGGATCAATCCAAAGGTCGTTAGGTTTGCACTCATGCAAATCTGAATTGAGAAGACAGCTTCCTGTCCAGGTTGTGGGAAGTTATGCTAGAAACTGCGCGTACATCAAGCCCTGGGCACCGGATCAATTTGGGCTCCCCCCCACTCATCATGGTACCTTCCTGTAGGGTGGTTATGGGGTTGGGGAACAGGATGGTCTGAGGGTTGGTTAAGATCGCATACCAATTTGGGCTTTCCGCCCATCCCCGAAGCTTCCTTTCGCCCTCTGGGCTTCCCGACTGCGAGGAGGCTTCTTCCCAACCTTGGCTTCGCCTGAAGACAACCCCGCGCCAAGTCCGGGTCGCCCAAGTCCATCAAACCCCTTCGATCCAGTGCTTGGAATGGCCAACCAAACATCCAATGGCCTGAGTGTTGAACTTGGCGCCCGAAAAACTCGGGCTTCACAAGCGATGGCCCAGGGTTGATCGTGCATGCCCGTCTTGCATCGCGCTGAGCATTGGATGCAGGCAACGAAGCCGCGGAGAATTCTCCGCTGGAAACAACAGCTGGCAAGCAGAACAAACTATTCTGCTTAAAGGTAGAACCAAAGGGCCAGCACGTGTGTGGGCTCCGCTGGAGCTTTCGGCGGAAAAGCAATAGGGGACTGGCATCCAGCAAGAGACCTGCAGAGTCTTGTGGGTGACCTGCGGAGTCTCTTTTGAGTGCGTAAGCTTTGTCCCAAAACCTCCATTTGCGTTTTCGTCCCCTGGAAAGAATAAGAAAACCAGTAGTGAAATTGTTTCCCTTTAAAACCAACAGGGGCAACTAAAAAAGGTTCATTTCAGCAAATGGAAGGACATGTCTAAAAATGTACTTCAGTCCTGTAGGCCCTGCATTGAGAAATCTGCGGGCTCTTGGTGTACTGGTTCACAACCTCCCTTGGAACAGGAAGAGACGGCGATGGATCAATTGACCCCGCCACATGCTTGGCTTCTTTTCTGACAATAAGTTTTCCGTGACCAACTCCAGGTGCCAAAAGAAACGCTTCGATGCCCAATTCGTGAGCCCCTTCTCGTTTTGAAAGGCTCAAGGAAACCCAAAGAAACCAAACGAAGGATTCTTCGGGGGGCGTCTCCTCTCGGAGCATCCAAGAGGTGTTCAGTGCCTGAAAGCAACAAATTTGGCCACAGTTTCATGAAGCAACTTGCACCTTTGGGAAACTTTGCGCTAAAGCATGGAAAAAGGGTGCGGACTGAGCAACCATGTGACATCTCTGGATCTCAACCTCGCCCCCGCCGATCTCGCGGCTCCTTGTTTCGAATCTTCCTTAGCCTGGGCAAGCAGAGGCTCAAATTCCAGGACTGATATGGCCTTAGACTTTTCAGCTGCTGCTCCGTCGAACCGTCGAACGGGCCAAGCTGGGTGCACTCCAAGGGCATTCACGACACTGGGGTTTCCCTCTTCCAGGTCTCTTGCCAAGGGCCTGAAAAACAACCAAACCTTGGATCCCATATTTTGGGCTTCTTGGTGTTTTCCAGCGCTTGGATGTTTGACTCTTGGGATCCCGGCAGGCGTGCTTTTCTTCTTCAAGCCCTGGCGAACCAAAAAAAAGCGCTACCAATCCATCAGAATCAGCGCGCGGGAGAAACTATATTTGTCACCGAAGCAATTTAATCCAAGGTGAAAAGGGTACACCAACAGACACGTGCCCATGTTAATGGATGTTCCACAGAGCAAAACTGAGAACAGGTCTTCAGACGCCTTTGTTTTCAATGTTCCCCTTGAAGCTACTTGAACCATTACCAGAAGGGAACCCACTTGGACATAGCAGCCAGTGTGCTTCAAGCTCAAAAGGAACACTGGGAAGCCCTAACTGTTGCCTCCAAGACGGATCCATTCTTGCGAGAAGCTGCTTTCAGGTTCGGACCCAAGAGAGAGCAGCCCCGTTCTCCTTCTAGAGCAGCTTCCCTTTTGAGGCGGTTTTAAGGGCCAACCTAATTACCCCAAATGGACATACCCCCCAACCTATAGGCCTTTTACAGGGCCTTTATAACTCATGTATAACCACTAATTTTGGGGTATGGCCATCTGGGGTGCCCGATAGAAATTGGGATCCCCTCTTGGGTGAGATTCCAAAGGGCCACTAAAAGGGGACCATCAATTTGATGTTTCCCCCATTTCTGGAACCCAGAAGCCCCCCCTCCTCCTGCACCCCACCCCTGTCCGACCTCTTTGCTAAATGGGCCCCAAGTGACAACAACAAGCCTTGCTACAAGAACCTAATGTCGACTCTGATTAATGAGCCCCCCCGTTATGAAGGAGGTCCCGCTGAAAGACTTCTGTACTCCCATACTGAAAAAAGAGAGAAACAAAAGAAAAATAGAGACCCGGTTTTTCAACTGGGCTGTCCTCAGAAGTTCCTGCTTTCACATTTGAATGGAGCCCGAAACCCCGAAAGTCCAAGAACCCAAGGAACCGGATTGGCTGCCCTTCACGAGCCGAACTTCTGGGCCTTGGCCGACGCCTTGGCCGACGCCTTGGCCGACGCCTTGGCCGACGTCCTGCGGCCGAGAAGCGACCCCGCGAAATTGCCCACCCTGGCCATCGTCCACCCATACGGGTGTGGGTCAAAAAAGAGGTACCCAAAATAAAACCCTGGTAAATGGAAACCTCAAACCTGCGGTCCAATTCCTGGTGGTTTAATTTTGGCCCACACCCATATGAAGGGCGGGTGTATTTACCATCAGCCAGAAACGTGGTAATCTTGTCAGCTATGTCAAAGCCCCTTGACACTGAAATGCTTGCAACCGCCAATTTGTTCATTGGACAAGTGTCTGGCGCTTGCCATGACAACTCACTTGCCTAGCTCTGGAAAAGGAGGCTGCCCGTTTGCTGCTACTTGTTTTCAAGGAAAAAACCTGAAACAAAATGCGAGAAGGGTGGATGTAGCATAGCAAGCTTTGCCTGTCCGCCGCTCTTACAAATCTAGAGACAGAAACGCTCCACATCTGCGGCTTGAGGGGGCATCCCAAGATCTTCAAGTAAACAGCCGGCAACATAAACAACAACACGACACAAACACACACACAAAAAAAAAAGAAGAAAAGGGAGCCACTGTCCAAATATGCGCTTAAATTCTCGCGGACACGATCCCCGTGCGTTTGTTGAAAAAGAAGTGAGGCCCCCCCCTCCTTCCCCCAAACTCAGCGATCTATTGCCCTGAAAAAAGAAGAAGAAAAAAAACAGCTTGAGCATCCCTTGAACATGCCGCGCCTAAGGCGTTTCTTCTTGTCCAGCTTCGCCACCCTCTTCTGTTCTTGCTCCTCCTTCAGCTTCATTAGCTCCTGCGCTCTCTTTGAGCACCCCCCAAACCATCAGCCCTTGGCGGGCTGATTCCAAGCGCCATCGTTTGGCCCAGTGTGGAGGTTGAGACTTGCTTCGGGCAGAGGTAGTTGAACATCACCAGTTAACTTTCGCTTCCTTTGAGAGTGATGCTGGGATATGCTGGGAGATAGGTAACCTCCGTTGAAGCCCAAATCGCAGAAAGCAGATGTTCAGATGTCATATGTGCTCAACCCAATGCAGATGTGATTTTGTCTTGAGCGTACCCTTTTCGGGGTTGGTTTTTGAGGGACAGCGAGAATTTTCTGTTGGGGGGAGAGGGGTCCCACCTAAGAAAGACGAGCCACAAGAAACATGTGGAAACCCCTCTAGCCTTGAGCCTTGCCAGGCCTTGTAGCGCTTGCTTTCCACATGCCGCTCCACCTGTCGGCTCGCCAAACTTCAGCGTGGCAACGCAGAGTTGTGGAACTTACGATTCGTCCTTTCAGGCATTGAAGGCTAGGATAAGGAAACCATGGGGATACTGTGTACTACTGATCTGAGCGAGTTTCAGTATGACTGATCCCTGAACTTGTGAACATTGTCAACCATTCGTTATATTTCGGAAATGAACCCTACCTGAACACTGGCTCCTATGATACCCGAGGTTGTCACGCTGCGAGTGACTGGAAAACATTCTCTCAAGTTGCAGGCAACGCGGTTGAAGATCACACCGAAGTGCAACCGAGAGACGGACACATCTCAGCTGGTCTTGTGAGAAATAGATGGGCTTCCCTGAACAAGTGGAATAAGACCCCTCCAAACCGGTGGAACCCATCTAGGTTTCATCAAGCTAACTTTAGAAGGATACCAACAGACGGACACATCTCGGGCCCAAACGCCGACATGCCACCAGCGCCTTCTGGGGCACCATGGGCAGAGTGGTCCCGGTCACCTCAGCATCAACTTAGCCAAGGGATGATGCCCTCGTCATCTTTGCCACAAGCGGCTCCAATATGAGTGTGTGTTTTTAGGTATCCTTTTTGGGGTTGGTTTAAAGGGACACCAAACGGGCAACCACCACAAAAAGCCGACCGCAACTCGGCGGCTGGCTTCAGCATTCCCAGTACCTGTACCTCATGATGATGGAAGATCCGCAAAGAAAGTTTACATAGTCAACCCTGTCTGGAATCCACATCGAAACCTGGGCGCCCACTATACTGGTAAATGAAAAACAATGGAAAGGCACCTTGCAAAAAATGCAATTGTATAGCGGATGTTCCACATGCGGTTTTTTCTGGCCCATTGAACAGGGCGGTTGAGACCTAGGTAAGGCGCTTGACAATACGAAAGGACAAATGATCTGCATTGACCGAATGGTCACCTACACAGGTGGCCTTTTCAACAATGAATAGATGGCCCGTGCATAGATGGAATCCAAACCCGTGCCATCTATTTTCACGCAGACTAACCTACAAAGGACACCCATGGTCACCTACCTGAATTGAACACCCATTCGAATTTTCTAAGAACCCTAGGGTCAGCTCATTAAACTTGTGCTTCTTTGTGCAGCAGAATAACTTAAGATGAAACATGCCCAGTGGGCATCGCAAAAAGCGGATACCTTTGCCGCTGGCTGATGTGTTGATATTCAAGAAAACACAAAACAAGTGAGTCACAATCAAAACCCGATATTAACATGGTTGACCCAGAACCATGCTTCAAGAACTAAGGCGGCCGCAGCTATTTATGGCTGGGACTGTCCCTTACTAACCTTCATTTACCCAGGTTTTGAGAATGTGGCTCAAGTGCGGAAACAAACTCCAAAAGCAGGGCCAAGAAAGCCAAGCCCGGGCTTCGCACGGTGCAGTAGAGGAACTTCTTCTGCTTCTCATGCCTCGATCCGTTTTAGTGCGCGTGGGGCATGAACGAGTCAGGGTGTTGGGAATGAACCGGAAGGGATTCCCTTAAAGGAAACCCGTGGGGAATGGTTGATGGGGGTCATTATTTTTCATTCCCTGCTGAGAACCAGCAAGAGAAGAGACCCATTCTGGAGGTTGGATCAATCTCTGTTCAACCTTCTGGGGAACAGGCCCATTGGCATAACACACGATTCTAGTTGCCCATTTGCTTGCCAGCCAAGGCCCGGGCGGAATGATGTACGGCTCGAACTTGCTGAAGTCGAAGCTGTACCACTCACGCGCCTGGATGCAGCAGTCAAACTGTCCGGGCAAGATGATCAAGATGGATGGTGCTTTGCAAATTCCAGAAAAACTGCATTGACAAAGGACATATGGCTGTGGGTCAAATAGGTGGCAAATGGATGTTCATCCACCCGAAAAATGGGATCGTCATAGGTTATGCAAGCCATGGCCATATGGGTGTGGCTCAAAATTAAACAGGAGGGGTTACGCAGGTTTTGGTCCATGGTTCAACTCCAACGAATTCCGAATTCTGCCGGCTTCAACAAGCGACCAGATTTTACATGTTTTTACCCATTTCATTGGTGCCATGCACGTGGAGAAACGGATCTCAAAGGTTCCAGCTTTCTCTTTATTTCTTCTTCTTCTTCGGCTTCTTCTTCTGCTTCTGCTTCTTCTTCTTTCCCTTTTCTTCTTTTCCTTCTCTTCTTCTTTTCCTTTTTCTTCTGCTTCTGTTTCTTCTTCTTCTGCTTCTTCTTCTTCTTTTCTTTTTTCTTCTGCTTCTGCTTCTTCTTCTTCTGCTTCTTCTTCTTCTTCTTCTTCTGTTCCTTTCTCTTCTGCTTCTGCTGCTTAATTCTCATTCTGCTTGCAAGCTAGCTCGTCACCTGCGGGCATCTCCGGTTTGCATGGCACAACTGCCACTCCCCTTAGGTGCCTTCTTGTACTTGGCGCCGTTCACGTAGATCTTTACCACCTCAGTCGGGCCAGTTGAGCCGGTCGCTCAAGGGCTCGAAGCCTGCCAAGACTTATGGCCGAGTCGACAGCGGACATGGTAAATGGAAAGAAACACGAGGGGCTTCTGTTAAAGGAAACCACTGGATGGCGTATAAGCGTTCATTCCATTTCTCATTCCCCAGTCGAAAACGAAGCGCACTGGGTTGGCAAACATATCCACCAACAATTTGGCAGGACATTCCTCACTAGTACGCCATAGCCATTTAATTTACAATGCACAAGACTATATATAGTGAGGGCGGAATCCATCCTGGAGGCGTTGGCATCAGCTTTGCGGCTTTGCGCAATAAAACAAATCCCTGGTGAGCTCCGATGGATCGAATCGCTCCGTTGTGTACAGCGTGCTTGCCATGGCTTCCCACTTGTCACTACCTACTAAAGCAAACCCGCTGTGGAACAACCCCCAAAAAAACCGCTGGACTGGGAGAAAACTCTGGGGAATCCCACCTATCGACCTCGTATTCGTCAAACTAGCCCGTGACGGAGTCGCAATCGAAAGGCCGTGTGACGGATTCCATCTTCTGGGCTCAGAAAAAAAACACTTTGGTGGTCTCAGAAACCCAACCACTAAACGAACCAACAACCACTCAAAGCTGGCAAGGTCAAAACTGGCAGAGACACTAAACCAACTAAAAACCACCAAAAACCACCAAAAACCACCAAAAACCACTGGGGGTTCAAACCTGCAAGTCTTGAATGCGACCCCCCCGTTAACTCCAGAGACGAGTTCCCCCTCTCCGCGCCTCCAGGCGCGGCGGCATCTCGTGGCCCGTGCTCTTCACGCACACCTCGCAGAGAGTGGGGGGTGTTGGGGGGGGCGTTGTGGGAAGAAGGGGGAGAAGAAGGGGGAAGAAGCGGGGGGGCAAGAAGGGAAAGAGGGGGGCTGGTAAGGGAAGGGGAAGAAGGGGCTAAGAAGGGGGGGTTCTGGGATGGGGGGGGCAAGGGGGGGTTCTGGGATGCCCCGCTCAGAAAGGGCCTTGTCGGATGTGAACAAACGATGCGCATAGACCGTGCATTTCACCAGTGTGCAAAGGACAGGAAACGGTTGACACGTTGTTGCTGCACTTGGCTCTGCGCTGGTTGACACCCTGAGCATCAGGCGCACCAGCACCGAACCAGTCGAACTCTTCCTGAAGGTTTTGGCCTTTGGCTTTGTAGGTGCAATCAGGTGTAGTGCGGCTATGCTCTCCCCAGCCAACAGAGACGTGCCAGAGCCTCCAACAAGTAGCACATCGCCCCGCCACTGAGCACTCAGAAACGTTCTGGCAAATCTTGTGCTGAGGCTGGGCGCTTCATCGAGCTTTGTGCCCCAGCAGGGCGCTTCATCAAACCAGGACGGGGTCGCTGTGGCGCGTCCTGCCAAAAATCAGTCAACGACAGAAAACGGTCAATGGAGACATAAACTAATTGGAAAACGGTCTGTGGGAAAAATGAGTCCTCGAGTTGAAGGTCTGCAGCGCATGGCTGCTGCTTCAGCCACTCGATGTGTGATTCTCTCGTAGTGCCCCACCCCGTCAAAGAGGACTGGCACAATGTTGCCACCAAGGTCACCTTCATTGTGACGACACCCATCAAAGATGGGACGAGGTTGCCCAAATCATGGGCTCATCGGCATACTCCCCGCTCTCGCCCATTCTCTCCACGTAGCCTGGCCAGTCTTCGTCGATGTCTTTGTCGAAGACTTCATAGGGTCAAGCCGAAGCACCTCCACAGCTTGACGCCTGAACTCACCAGCTGCCAAAAGTCCTCTGCCTCACACGCAGTGTTGATAGCCCACCTTGTGTGCAGCGCTTGAGGTGGTGGGGGTTGTCCATCTGCTGACAGATCGCTCGAAAGAAGCAATTTCCGTCACCGTAAACGGGGCGCGCCTGGATTTCCACCACTCCTGCTGTCCTTTTCTCGCAATCCGCGTCAGCAGGCGCTGAAGCGGCACCTCGTCGTCACGAGGTCTTCTGCCTCGCGAAGAATGTTTCTCCCATAAATTATTTTATGTGAACCGTTTGTTTGGGCGCCCTGTTCCAAACCCGTCCTTCTTCACAACTGGCGGAGCCTCTGACGTGGCGTCCAAGTTCTCTTCCTGACACGACAAGTGCATTTTGCATGGAATGTGTTGGTTTGATTTTCGGTTCCCCTGCAGCACAGCTACTCTCCCGTGTCCTGCTCCTCTACCAAAGGTTGAGCTTCCACAGGGGCCACGATAATTCATGAACTCTTGTGATTAGGTTTAAGGTCAGCCAGTCTCCCGTCCTGCTCCTTGACCAAGGGTTGAGCTTCCAATGGCTGGGCTCTCCTTGAAGCCTGATCGATCGGATTAATTCCAACAAAGGTGGCCGGCGGAAAGACACTCCACGCCTGCTTGGACCAGATTTCAAGCCACCGCTTGTTGCGTGGCAAAAGTTGACAGGGAGAACTACAAACTCCACGAGCCCAATGCGCTTCGGCGAGCGCAGTCTTCGGGCCTGGCCGGTCAATGGCAAAGAGGGGGGGGGTTGATTCAAGGGATACATTATAAAGGGCCCATACGGTCAATGGTATCCGGGTTCAACAGTTGCTGTCAACCCTGTCGTTCAAGTGCCGCACTAGCGCTGTGAACTCAACCGGAAAATCGATGCCTCGAAAGGCTTGTTGTCCTTGTAGGCCGCCGCCGCGGAGAAAGTAGCTCACCTTCTTCGAGCGATGAGTCGGTAGTCCCGGTCCAGGGGGGTCTGAGAGGGGGGAGGGGGTTCTGGGGGAAGGGGGGTTCGGGGGCTGTGGTGGGCTTGGTGGGGGTTTGGGGGTGGGGTGTGGGGGGGTGTGGAGAGGAGGGAGAGGGGGAAGGGGGGGAAGGGGGTGGTTCTGGGAGAGGGGGGGGGTCCTGGGAGAGGGGAGGAAGGGGTGGGGGTGGGTTCTGAAAAAAGGGGAAAGGAAGGGAAGGGGGAGAGGGGAAAGGGGGGGAAGGGGTCTGGAGATTGGAACGTGGGGGAAGGGTTTCTGGGAGAGGGGAAAGGGCGGCAAGGGGTGGGGCTGGGAGAGGTGAAAGGGGGGGAAGGGTGGTTCTGGGAAAGAAAAACGGGTGGGAAGGGGGTGGGTTCTGGGAGGGGGGAAAAAGGGGGGAAGGGGGTGGTTGAGAGGGGAAAGGTGTGGAAGGGGGGGTTCTGGGAGAGGGGAAAGGGGGGGAAGGGGCTGGTTCTAGGAGAGGGGAAAGGGGGGCAAGGGGTGGGTTCTGCGGAAGGGGGGGAGAGGGGAAAGGGGGGGAAGGTGGGTCTGGGAGAGGGTGGAAAGGGGTGGAAGGGGGTGGTTATGGGAAAGAAAAAAGGGGGGGGGTTCTGGGAGAGGGGAAAGGGGAAAGGGGTGGAAGGGCGGGGTTTTGGGAGAGGGGGAAAGTGGGGAAGGTGGTGGTTTCTGGAGAGGGGGAAGGGGGTGGGTTCTGGGGAGAGAGGAAAGAGGGGAAAGGGGGGTTCTGGGAGAGGGGAAGGGAGAGGGGAAAGGGGGGGGAGAGGGGAAGGGGGGGGGGGGGGGTTTGGGGGAGGTTCTGGGGGGGGGGAAAGGGGGGTGGTTTGGACATGGCTTGGGAGGGGGGGGGGAAGGGGGGTGACTGGGAGTCGAAACTTGGTGCATGGCCTCGAACCACCGGCTTAGCGGTCAGCATGACCGAGTCTCTTGATGCGACCGCCCCTTTCTCTCGTGCCTTGCTTGGGGGAGTCTGTCTGCTCCTCATTCTCATGCAATGATGCACTTGCAATGCAAAGGATTAAAGATCAAAGAACATGCCATGCACAGCTTGCTGGTGAAACTACCAAATGCCTAGAGGCAATGCTTGAGCTGCAGCCTATTGCGGATGCAACATGTGACACATGCAACAAAATGGACTGACAATGAGGCAACTGCTGTTGCCAGAATGTGCTACCTCTCGACTCAGGTTGCCTGTTCATCTGCTTTGCAGAGCACCTGCCATCAAGAGTTTGCTCTTGCTCTTCTCAGCTCGACTCGCCTTCTGCTCTGCTGTGGCTTGTATCATTGCTTCAACCGCAATCTGCCTCAACCTCCAGTGTGAAAAATCGGACTCCGGCGCTTCTTCCGATAACACATCCAGAATTGGGGGGGTACGACCGTACAGAGCTTGATAGGGTGAATAACCACCCACGACACACAGCACGTTCTTCGCAAACAAACTTTCGCTGAGCATCTCCGCCACGTCCACTCTCAAGCCATCGGCTATTGCTTGTCCTTCAACCTTGTGGAACTGAGATCGAAGAAGTTCATTGTGGCGCTCAACCATTCCAGCGTGTTGCCCGCGTGCCCTCAGCGTGAGTTTAATACCCAACTTGGCGAAATGAGCTGCGGCTTCTTCAGTGTCCAGACTTCCTTCTTTGTCACCGACCAGCTCCTGCGGATAGCCAAACTTGCTGAACCAGATGTCGTACATTCCAGTTTTCAGGAAGTCGAAGTCACGCCCGAACACCAATTTTCCTGCGCTCCACCTGATGCAAGTGTCAATCATGTGAAGAATCACATATCGCTTGACAAATAACAAATCGTACTCAACCGTTTCATTGAAGCGCTGCGGCAATCTTGTCGAAGTGACTGACTTTGGCCCCGGACGAACCCACATGCGACAGATTGAGCAGGTAGATACCACTTCATCGACCAACTGCACTGTTGCAGGATCCACGCCTGCCGCAGTGAGAAGATCTTTCATGCGTCTGGCACCAGCGTGATACCAACGAATGTGCAGACGTCGCAACGCGCGTCTCACCACTCCTGGCCTGAGCGACCTCAAATGCTGCAGAGCCGCGCCCAGATCATGTCTAGTCCAAGGAACCTCTCGCCCTTCTGGCTGTTCAGCCAACTGCGGCTCCTCTGCAATACGATCTGGTCCACCGGCACCTTCAGGAATGTTGATTTGAGCTTCAGCATCCACGAACCTTCGTCTAACCACGGGTCCAGATTCTGCCTTATCTGCTCGCCTCACTGCTGCTGACGGTCTAGACGACGCAGCCTCAGGGTGTGACCCTATGTTTTCTGACACTGGCTGAGCGGTGTCCATTTTTACTCCTTCTGTGTTCGACGGGGCCGGCAGTCTCATGCGACTTGTTGGCTCTCCGCTTGCCTTGATTGCTGGATCACGTGGATGAGCTCCTGTGCGAGGTTTTCCTGCCCCTTCGCGAAACTGAGCCACTGTCCACTTGCAGGTCACGTCCAGAGCGTGTGACTCGTGATGTCTAGGCCTTTCTCGCACACATCCATCACACGTCCAACGCTTTTCAGTCACATATGGATGCCGACAGTTTTCATCTCTCGTATGCTTCGGGTCATCATTTCGAAGATGACCACGGCATCCTGGACAGCTGTACGTCGGAAACGATTGCTGGACTCGCTGCTCTTGCTCACGCATCACTAGAATTGTGTCTGCCACTCCGCGCGCAAAGCGACGACAGAACGAATAAGGCCAGACCGCGGCGTCATAGTTCACCTTTCCATGAGCATGATCACCATTGCACTTGAGACCTGCCAGATGTGTAACAAGTTCCGCACATGAAGCAAGCAGTTCTGTTGGTTTCTGCAAAGCCAAATGCGGATAAACTCTCGCGCGTAAACCCAATCTGCACTGGTCAAAGTTACATCTGACGCAGCGATCCGAGAGCGCTCGCCATGCTGGTAAGTCATAAAGTGCACTGCCGCGAGGTTGCTCAATGACAAAGTGACTTCCTCGTCGCAATTGAAACTCTGCAACCTCTGCACACAAAATTGCCAGTTGACGACCTTCAGATTCAGCCAATTCGTAAGATTGAGGGTGTATCACACGGTT